TCACTCACACCTGTCACCCCGATGGCTGCACACGGCTCCAACGTGGCTGACACGGCCCTTCAATCCGCCATCGTCCTTCCTTACTGCCTAGAAGTCGGCCCAGTTCTACTGGGGCCTCATCCCAGGACACAGCTGGGCAGCGAGTCTACCAATGCTTGAGAGGACATCCCCGCCCATTGTCCTCAAGGCTGAGGACACATAGTGGGGTCACTGGGTGGGAAGAGGAAGAAGCCTTGGGTTTGGGGGCACCCTGCAATGCCCAACTCCTCCAGCCTTGGACCTCAGCCTTCCCAGGTTACCTCACCTGTGTCAGTGTACGGCCTTGCATGGCTGGCTCCACCTGGCTGGGGAAGCAGGTGCTCATGTGCGGGGACCTTGTGTTTCTCAGGATTCTACATACCAGGATCCCCAAAGCTCTGCAGACTCCAATCCTTTCATGAGCAGTTGCTCAGAACAATGCTGCCGCAGCTACAGAAGCACTTGGTGAGTGAACCTTCCCCTTGCCTCCTCCCTGGAGGGCCTGGGTCCCGGCAGGTCAGGGGGACAGGGAAAGCCCGAGCCCCTCCTGCTACAGTGAGGGGCATAGTCACCAGAGCCTTTTCTGGAATATGTTACTGTCAATGGGTTTAAAGTTTGGTTTCCTTTTCCTTGGCCTGGTGGGACAAAAGCACGGGGACTAGGGGCAGACTCAGGCCGACCAGGGCTAAGGACATTTGGTCATCTGAGGATCTGTGCAGGGGGCAGGGGCCAGACTGCAGGGAGCCCTGGCCACCACTCCCAGGTGTGTTGCCTCTTGAGAAACCGCCTGCCAGTGGGCCCTGGAACTGGCAGCTTTTCAGGCCAACCCAGGGGTCCCTGAGCACCTGTGTTCCTTCTGTCAGGATGACCAGGGAGTGACAGCAGATGCATACAACAACTGGTTCAGCCAGTGCTTCATCGAGGATGTAAGGCCATGCAGGGACACCCCGGGCTGGACACCCTCCTTCCGCTCAGCACCTGGCTCCCCCAACCTGGGCATGTGGCTCCCTTGGTCGAACCCAGATGATCCCACCTCACAGGATGCATAGACATTTCCCTGCTCGGCAGACAGGCCAGGCCCTGCAGAGGCCTGTCCCATGAGGGAATCCAGGCCTCTGGGTCAGAATCACGGGCCAACCCAGCCATGACCTATCCTGGAAGAGCCCTA